GAAAGAGGACAAATCTTATCAAGCACACATCCAGCCAAAACATGTTTGCATTGTATTCTGGCCTCCCAAGAATGTGACTCTGGGAGAGAGGCTTTATTCTCAGCAATATATATCCATCTACCCAGCAGTTCGCTACATTCCTGTGCAGGGAGAAGGCACCCAAGAGGGCCCCAAACTGCACAACAAGGTAAGTGGTATGCTGTAATATATTTAACAATAGATAAGCCAGAAAAACAGAAGGGGAAAAATTCAGTCCTCAGCAGAAAGTATTATGAACCAGAAAAGAGTATTTCTTTTGCTTCGCCCTACATAAATCACTGTGAATTATCTGTAAACCTAGCCAAAAACTGGTTTCCGTGAAATCCTGGGGGGGGTAGCCTTTAAAAAATCCAGCTACAACAGCCACACTTCCATTGGCAATGGTTCTTCTTCTGCTCTGTTCCTGTCATTATTTATCTCTTATATTTAACGTTCATAAAGTGTTCTGGGGATGAGCAGTCAGTTTTGAAAAACACCTTACAAGATAAAGTCATATTAAAGCTGTTTCACTTGATAGGCTCATGCTGGTTTAAACAGAACCAATACACTGAGGACACACAATCCTGAGCTATAATAATGTTTTACATTTATATTCTGCCTTTCACCCAGAACTCCAGAATCTGTAATATATGAAATGCCAAAGAATGACAAATGTAAACTGCACAACAGAGAACAGAGGTATGTTTGGCAAAGATATTGTGGTAGATCCTACCTTGCACAAAGAATTTCATGGCATTTCTGACACCTGCACTAACCAGAACTCCATGGGCCAGTAAACAGACACGCAACTGGATCAAAAGTATTTTCCTTGCTCTATCATCATGAACAGTTTGGTTAGAAAAACTGCTCAGTATCTAAGCATCTGGAATTCTCAATTTGTAAAGTAGAAATTATACTCCAATTCAACGTCATACTACCTTAGCATAAGACTGCAAAAAAATACAATGCAACAGCACATTCCAGGTGATAGTAAACCATGAGCTGTCTCTCAAATATTTTCTGTAAAGCCACTTTGTTCTGCAGTGATGATCCAATGAATGATATCACTTAAGTGGATCTGAGTAAGGTCGTTTGACAGGACATGTCCTTATGAGAACAGCCCAGGTAATATGTTTAACATGTTAAGAGCATCTTCCCACCCATCGTCTGGCGCAACATCAGCCTGCACAAAAATATCACTCAAGGGCACAATGCAGTACACAGAGAATACCCAAAGTATAAAAAGCCTGTTTGTTCTCTATCCTTCATTTACCACCTCTGACTACTGCCCTAGAAGGCCCATGCTATCCTTGTCAAAGCTAAAATGTCTATCAGATATTTCACCTAATGAACTCTGAGGTCAAATTAACTGGGTACAAACTCCACAATGGAGGATAAGTAATAATCCACTTAATGGCCATTACGTATTCAACCCAGCTTCTCAAGATAGTGATGGCTTAACCAAATCAGGTACCAAACATAAGGCAGGGCTACCAGAAAGCCAAGGGGCATAAGAAATCAGACACCACGTAGACACCAAAATTATATCTAACAGGGTATATACAACTTAACAGTTTGCATTACACAGGGAACAAAGCCGGATGATCTGATTCCCTCTGAGACTTTACACCTCCAGAGATGCGAATCAGTCGGCGCACTGTCCATCCCACCACAGCAAGCCCCCGCTGCACGACTGACAACCATCCCCTGGTTCAGATCCGAACCCATAAAGAATTTGGCAGCTGCCAAATGATACTTGACCTGGTCCGCCCCAAAAGGGGTGATGTTGGCCTTGACCGACCCGACGCCCAGCCCCACGAGGACCAGTCCGACGAAGGTGGCGATGGCACAGTAGCGGGTGGCTCCCACCTGGGAGCAAGGCGCCAGGGTGGCGTTGGCCGCCGGAGAGGAGCAGTTCTCTACGGGGTACAAGGGGATGTCCCCGCAGAGGCCCTGGCGCGTGTGCGGGGCGGCGATGACGGGGAAGGCCAGCATGCCCAGCAGGTAGAGCGCCATGCTGAGCAGGATGGTGCCAAACTTGCCCAGGAGGGCGTC